AAAGAGAAATACCATATGATAGTACTCATATGTGGAATCTAAAAAAAAGACACAAACTTATTTACCAAACAGAAATAAACTCACAGACGTAGAAGACAAACTCATGGTTACCAGGGGGTATAGGGGGTGGGGAGGGATAAAATGGGAGTTCGGGATTTACAGATACTAACTACTATATATAAAATAGATAAACAACAAGTTTATACTGTATAGCACAGGGAACTGTATTCAATATCTTATAGTAACCTATAATGAAAAAAGAATATGAAAAGGAATATATATGTATATGGATGACTGAAACATTATGCTGTACACCAGAAATTGACACTATATTGTATACTGACTATACTTAAAAAAAAAAAGGGGATTTCATGTTAGGCAGAGTATTACAGAATTCTATTGGTCATAAAGGTTCCCATTTAAACATATCTTGGAAATTATTCACAATTTTTATGAGCCAAATTTCTCTAGTCTTCTTCCACCATAATACTATAACCATGCATTTTTAAGCAATGAAATCAGTATGGAGGTGCTCATGTTGGTGGTGTTTCTTTGGTTAGCTGGAGAGAGGTTAAGAAGAGACACTCTTGTACAACATTTGTTCTTTCTTATAAAATATTCCTATGTGTCATTTTATTAATTAAAATTAATGACAAACATATGGCTTGCTAACTATGTGAAACACTAAAAATCTCAAGTTATCAAGACTTTATATAAACATTAAGGATGATATAATTGCATCATCTTTTTGCTATCATTTATATTCACTTTAAAGCCTAGATTTATTTGCTTAACAGATACATAATTAGACAGGAATAAAAGAAGCAGAGAATTGAGGCATTTAAAGTTACCCTATGCTTATGAGCCTATTCTGAGACTAGAACAAAAGCAGCCCATTTGAGTTTACTGCCTAAATTTATATACATTAATATTTAACATGGACATGGCATTTATAAATATCATCCTTCCTTGTGATGATAAGGATGACAGTGAATTTCTTAGCACTTGGTAGTACAAAAATTTGGAAAGTACCTTAGAGTTCACCTATCCCAACCTCTCAGACACTGCAGACTGTCTCTAACATCTCATTGTTTGTTTATGGCCATTTCTATAAATAGGAACTCACTATATACAGAGAAAGAAAAAAAGATTTTTTTCCTTTTTTAAAGATGTTTTAAAAAACATATTGTGACAAAAAGCAGGCCCTTGTATCTTTTCATCACTAAAAAAATTCTTCCTATTGGGAAAAATGTACATTTATTACATATGCATAAAAATGATTAAACTAAAAAGAACTTAAATTGCTTGCATAATATTTGTTTTATACATTTTCTATTTTGCATTAGATCCGAAATAGAGTGAACAATGATTCTTGGTGATTCTGCAATGATACCACTTTTTTTTTCTTTTTCAGTTCTGTTTTATAACTAACTGTGACATCTATACACCAGGTAGCAGGGTGATCTTTTACTATGTTCTTCTCTGTCTTGGAATTGTCTGTTTTACATGTTTGTTTTGCTCTTTTGAGTGTAATATTCATTTGAAGAAGATTCAGCAAATTTATCCTCTCTTTGTTCTTGTACTGAAAAAAGCTAAGATACGCCTTTCGTTGTCCTGGCTTTTCAAATACTTGTTGACTTATTCTATAACATAAAAACTCATTCCAGCTTCTGATTTTGTGCCTTAGATGATTTGATATGACTCCAGAAGTTTTAGAGTCTCACTAAGATGGGCCTGTACCTGGTACCAGTTGTGCAGAGCTATTTTATTTCTTTTTTCTATGACATGTGTTTCTATTTCCCAATAACTTGACTCATTTTTATTGTAAACGTCATTCTAAAATGGCTACCTATAGCCTGGCAAAATTGGATAGAGACACTTAAGATACGGTACCTTGACTTTATGCAGGTGTCTTAATTGCCAAAGCAGAAATTCCATGAGAAGAGCAAAATGAAGAGACCCTATTTGGGGGCACTATTCTAGATGTACCCAGTCATCATGCTGTCTAAATTCTTGGTCTCCATCAATTGCCTAAACACACTTCAATTTTCTTTACATGCCTGGGTGCAGGAATCACATGGTGGTACCAGATACCTAAGCTTCAGCCCCATTTATTTTTACGGGTGGCAGTGTTTCCTTGTCTGTGTCTTCATCTGCAAGTAATTTCATTTCTGGCTGTTACTCCCTAATTTCACTTATTAAAATAACCATGATTGAGCATTGGTTTGCAACTCTTTAATGTTGGTTTTAAGCATGTTAAAATTTCTCAATCATGTAGGTTAAGGAATAAAGAAGTTCTAAGATTGTGTAAAATCTGTAGGTATCCTTTTCTTTTTTTTTTTAATCAGGATATTCTTTTTAGCCTTTCCTGTATAATCTCTTGTATCATATTAGGAGCTCTTCATGCGCTATAATAAACCAAGGGACAGAACATTGTCTCTTGAACCTGTTCACTTCCCATATCAGGGCAACCAGTTTGTATTTCTAGCACACATTATCAGTGCCTGCCAGATCAGGACAACCTATGCAGTAAAGACCTTAAAGTCAGAGGAATAATAATCTCACTGTTTCTTTGTGAGTAACATCGAAGCCACAGTCTTTTTTTGGCTTCTAGAATTCCCAGGGAACATTTTTTCCTAAATCTTGTCATAGCAGCTTACTTATTTACTTCAGCTGTTTACTGGAGGCTCTTTGGCACACTGCTTTAACTCCATTCTGGTCATTTTTTCCCCTTTCCTACTAACTTTGTTAACTCCCTATGTTTTAAAGGTTTGCAGCCATTTGCTAAGCATGTAAGTGAACCCGTGCCTTTCAAACCCCTGTTGTTCAAGTTTCAGTGGTAGATACACTTCCTACTTAGCAATACTTCACTATTTGACCATTATATTAGCTTCTAAAGAATAAAGATGGTTTCTTAAAGCTGTCTGAGAGTTAACATCCTAATGTTGAATCTCCACAGCTTAATGACACGTTTTGTTTCTAACCATTTATGGTACTTTCACACTTTTTTCTGTATAATAAATTTTGCCTAGTAATTATGATATCATCATCTCTAACTTAGTCTGTGAATGTAAAGTAGATCTATGTTGGTTCATATTCTGTAAAAAGTCACATTGGTGTGAGTGATCTTGATGTGATCATCTATATTTTGGTTAGTGATTATTCATCTTTAGACAATGTTTAAAACAGACCTGAGATTGATAGCCTTACATGAATTACAATCAACACCTTTGTTTTTGTTCTCCCTCCCTTTTTAGTGTAATTCATTTTGTAGTCAGATATGCACCTGTTTTAAAAATTAATTCAAAACTTACTCTCACCTTCAGCTGAATGTGCCCAAAACTGTTTACACAATTACCTTAACAAAAAGTTCAATTTCTCTGTAAAATCACTTTTTAAAAAATGTATCAAGTTAGATTCTTCTGCTTTACCTTTTAAAAAGTAGACTTTACTTTTTAGAACAGTTTTATATACACATCAGAACTGAGTGGAAAGTGTAGAGAGTTCCCTCATGTTCCCTGTCCTCTCTGCCCCAGACTTCCTCACTGTCACTATTTCCCTGGCGGTGTGGTACATCTGTTACGACTGATGAATTACATTGACAGATCATTGTTATCCGAAGTCCATAGTGTATATTAGGGTTCACTCTTGGGGTTGTACATTCTGTGGGTATTAACAAATGTATAATTACACGTATCCACCATTATAGTATCATACAGAATAGTTTTGTCTGTTCTAAAAATTCTATGTGCTCTGCCTGTTTATCCCTCTCTCCCCTAATTCCTGGAAACCATTGATTCTTTTACTGTCCCCATAGTTTTGCCTTTTCCCAACCATCATATTTTGGGAGTCATACAGCATGTAGCTTCTTTCATGTAGTAATATACATTTAAGATTTCTCTATGTATTTCTATGGCTTGATAGCTCACTTATTTTTAGCACTAAATATTATTACATCATCTAGATATACCATAGTTTATTCATTCACCTACTGAAAGACATTTTGGTTGCTTCTAGTTTTTGGAAATTATGAATAAAGCTGCCATAAACATCTGTGTGCAGATTATTCTGTGGACATAACTTTTCAACTCATTTGAATAAATACCAAAGAGTGTGGTTGCTGGATCATAATATAGTAAGAATATGTTTAGTTTTTTAAGAAACTGCCAAACTCTCTTCCAAAATGACTTTGCAATTTGCATTTCTGCCATCAGTGAATGAGAGTCCTTGTTGTTCTACCTCTTCTCTGGCGTTTGATCTTATTAGTGCTTTGGATTTTCATCATTCTGATAGGTGTGTAGTGGTATCTCACTGATGTTTTAATTTGCATTTCCCTGATGACATATAATGTTGAACAGATTTTCATGTACTTATTTGCTGTTTGTGTATCTTCTTTGGTAAGGTGTCTGTGAAGGTCTTTGACCCATTTTTTAATCAGATTGTTTAGTTTCTTATGGTTGAGTTTTAAGAAATCTTTGTATAATTAGAATAACAGTTCTTTCTCAAATTTATTTTTTGCAAATATTTTCTCCCAGTCTGTGGCTTGTGTTCTCATTTACTTCACAGTGTCTCTCACAGAGTAGAAGTTTTTTAAATTTTAGTTAAGTCCAGCATATCAAGTATTTATTTTATTGATCATGCTTTAGATGTTGTCTAAAATATCATTGCCAAACCCAAGGACATCTATATTTTCTCCTACCTTATCTTCTAGGAGTATTATAATTTTATGTTTTACATTTAGATCTATGTTGTGAAAGATGTAAGGTCTGTGCCTAGATTCATTTTTTTGGTTCCAGCACCGTTTTCTAAAAAGACCATATTTTCTCCATTGTATTGACTTTGCTTCTTTGTCAAAGATTGGTGTTTTACTTGAAACTCAGTGTATTGATTAGTCAAATCCATTTTACCTGCCTTCACTAATCAAGGTTATTTTAATGCTTGTATGTCCTCAAGCGGCAAGTAGCCTAAACAATAAGATGTTTGCCCGATTTGTTTTCCAGAAACTTGGAGTCAGCTGTGTCTACTTCAAGCTGAGCTGGTTAAGACTGGATTGGACCACTGGCCTTTCAACTGGGTATGCTCGGTAACATTTTGTACGTGCAGAGCCTTGCTTGCATTGGACAAAACCAGCCTGGTTTGTAACATACTTTTAATTGTTCCTTTTTATTTGTTTTCTATGTTCAGAGTTCTACAGTGTCCTGCATGTTTTTCTTAAAATTTAAACTTAATTTAAACTTGCTGCTGCATTAGCAGTAACTATCGAAATAGAAACAATTCTGCTTTTAGCTTTTTCTCTCATTCTAAATTCACTATTCTTTAGGTTCAATACAGCAGCTAACTCATGGCAATAGAAGTTAACTGTGCCTTAAGAGGAGAAGAGACGTATCTGTCAATGAAGATGTAAATATTGGTTCCTATTTTGAAGTAGCATTTAATAATTCTGAATTGAAACTATGCTATAACTTGAAACAACTGTTGAATGTCTGATACTGCGGAAAGAACTGAAAACTGATGAGAGTTACTGAGTTTTCCTATAACGGTAGTGGATTTTAAACTGGCAGTGGGAGATCAAACACATTTGTATTTTGATCACATCCACTGTGAAATACTTGTTCAACATTGCACTAGTAAACTGAATATGGTAATTTCAGTCAAAGTTAACAAAGTTAGATATGGTGTCAGGAAGAGAAAGTGGCTGAGAGAGAATGCACTTTCAGGACTGTTAAAAAAAAAAAGTAAAAATAGTGAAATACAATGTGGAAAAAGATTGCCTAGGAGTCAGTAGACTTGACTTGGGTTCTGGAACCAGTTTGCTCTCAAAGTTATGTCTCATTTGTTTTATTTCTTCAGCCGTAAAATGGAGAATGAATAAGTAGGGTTTTTTTTGGGGGGGGTTGTTTTTGTTTTTTTGTCTACTTCAACTTTAAAATTCTAAGCTGCTAGGACAAGAAAAGTCAAACACAGTTCTGGGTTAATCTGGTTCAACTAGGCAGCTTTATGGACTAATCTAAACACATTTACTTAAAATTAAGTGCATTTAAATAAAAACATATATAAGAAATTTAAACCTCAAATGGACCACTATTTAATTTTCCCTTTGAAAGAAAATCAGTAATAAACACATAGGCAATGATTGCAGTGATTTCCGTGTTCTACAAATTTGTGATTTTATATTCTACATTTCTTTCTGAATTCCAACTCAAGTACTTGTAGGACTTTAGAGTTAATAGAGGCATTTTAATTCCATGCCCATCCCAACCTCAATTTAGGAAAGAGTAAACTGCAGTCCAGAGAACTTAAATGATTTGTATAGTGTCACACAGCTAATTTATGGCAAAGCTGGAAGAGCAAGCTAGATTTCCTGACCTTCAGCCCAGTGACCTTTCCACAATAAGCTTAAAGTCCTTAGCAATTAGTATTGCTCCAATAATCCATTGATAAGACATTTAATGCTTTATTTGATGGAAATAAGTTTTGACACCCATTAATTCATTTTATCCCCTCAACATCCCTGCAAGGTTATTATCATTCTCATTTTTATACACACACTAGAACAGATTAAGTAATATGTCCAAGGTCATATAACTGTTAACAAATGAAGTGTGAATTTAAAGCATCACTTTTGCCTGACTCCAGATCCCAGCTTCTTTAAAGGCATTATGTTAACTTCTTCAGTTTCCATTGAGCATTAGTATTTTAATCATTCTGGAGGGCACCTTAGTTAAGTCTTTCACATTAGCCTTTATCAGGGCTTAGTAATAATCCAAATTTACCCAAATTTATGATTCTTTTCTGGTACTGCTCTGTCATGAAGATTTCCTTAAAGTGAGGTTCACATTAGGATATGTGCAGTAATAAATCGGTGCATATGTAGGGGATAACTAACCTTTATGGTTGATTACTTTGGAAATGATCCACTCATTTCATGCTTTGAATGTGTTTTTATTGTATTTGTATGTATTCACTTACATATGAGACTGTACTAGTCCTCTTCTTTTTACCCTGCCAAGATGGTCTTAAATGCTGATCCAAGGTCCAATGTATAACTTTTCTGGGAATCTTAGCATCAACTTTCAGAATAAAAAGTTGTCACTAGAGGTTTCTAAAGTGCCTATCTACTGCATGTGTGAATTAACAACAAATGCAGATTTGTCTTTGATGGCTCTTTTATAGCTGCGTGCAGCTGGAGAAAAACCAACTGCCAAGGGAACTCAATTTTCTTTATCATCAATTTGACATTGGTTAACAGATGGCTTCTGGGTACCATGGTAGTCTTCTTAATTTGTCTTTTTATGTAGTGATGCAAATACTCTTGGTTAATTGCCTGATTATTACATTTAATTCTTTGTCAACAATATACCTCATTGTTTTGGAACATATCCTAGGAGAAAGGTTATAAAAAGCAGATATTTGAATGTTGAACTGCTCCCATGCCTTTGATACATAAAGCAGGACACCTAAAGGTAGGCAAATATGTTAAATATCCTGTCTTAAAATACAGGATGCTTTCTCTGAAATATGCCATTTCTTCAGAATACACTGGGTTCTCAAGAACCAATGTTATAAAAAAAGGTAGGAAAAGGGGGGTTCTACAAAAAAAAAAAAAGGTGGAAACAAGTACAGAGACACATTAAGGTAAAACATCTTTCCAATTGAACATTAACCTAGGGGTAACTGCAACTGAAGTCTTTTTTTTTTTTTTCTTCCTTTTTTTCAGCATTTAAGTAAGTAGAGTTTAAATGTTACACTTGGGAGAGTGAAAATGTTTCCACTGTTTCAAAGGGTATGTAAAAATCAGCTTACAGTTGACTAAATCTTTGGCATTCCTTAAAATGCAAATATGAGCCCTTTCGCTGACCGCTTTGAAAATTCAAAAAAGTGAGCAAACCTTTAAAATAAGAGTTTGAGAGAGTCAATTTAATCAGATAATATTGCATGTGATATTACACATACATGCATTCTTGTACATATACAAAAAGGAGAATTCAGTGCATGATAAGAGAATCTATTGATCAGTATAGTATTACCTTATGTTGTCAATTCTGACAGTGATATATTGACCACCTAAACATACCAATTAAAACAAGCGTTAATTTTTTATTTTAATCTTAGCTTTTTATTTTCATTTATTCATTGTTAAATGGTAAGGCTAAAAGCTTTTTCATAAAATGGCACTGAAATATACTTTTACTTACACTTATACTTGTACTTTAACAAAATAAATTAACTCATTTCCTCCTGGAAGCATTTTAAATAGATTCAAAAGATGGACTCAGTAGAATCAGAAAACTGTTGATAGAATCAGAAAAGTAGTACTTTGCCATTATGATAGAAGATTGGAACTAATATTGCTAGTAATGAAGTCTGTTGAAGTTTTTTTGCTACCACCTATGGGAAATGAAAATTCTTAGCAATTAATCTATAGAAATTACTGTTGCCAATTATGGAAAACATTAAATATCCAAGTGGATTTTATTACTATCTGTCAAGGAAATGTCCATTTGGAGAAAGCTGTAATTCTTAAACTGTTCCTTAGAAAACCCAGATTTGGAAATTGACCTACATAATCCACAAGGCCCATTTCTGAGGAATATCTTCAGTGTCAAAGTTGTATATTTACAGTTAAGTAACTAAGAATTATATAAAGTGAATTAGCTCTATTTATTGTGAAATCTTATTTAAGTTGACCTGATGTTTTTATTTTCCACATCCCTTTCTTTACACTTCGGCCCTTTCAACATTTACTGTCTTGTTCGAAGTAGTGAACAAATGAAATGGTTTTTTAGCTTCTAGCCTGCCACTATAGTAAAGCAGTAAAATGGAAAGAGAAAATCTTTGATTAGAAGAAGTTCTTGCTTGAAATTCATGCTCTAACACTTAATACTTACGTTACACAAGGAAAATAACTGTCTTTCTTCATCATAGAGTAGCACTGGGAGTACCTGTTTTATAGGAATGCCATAAGAAATACTATATGCAAATATTTTGTAGTGCTTAGCAGAGTACCTGACACAAAACTGAGTCTCAATAAATTCTTTCCTTCCAAAATATAATCTCTGTTACATCGACAAGATCCAGAAAAACTTCAGTCATGACTCATCCTGTGACTTTCTTTTAATCAGTAGAATATGGGAAAGATAATGAGATGTCATTCCCATGATTATGTTATTTATATAAGACTCCCTTGCTGGCTTTGAAGGAGTAGATAACCATTTTGGAAGACCCAGTTGGCAAGGAACTGAGGGAGACCTTTAGGAACTTAAGGCACCTTCCAACCAATGGGAAGCAAAGGGCTCTTGGGCTGTAATCACAAGGAAATGAAGTTTTCCATCAATCCAAGTGCATCTGGAAACAGAATCTTCTTTAGACTATCTTCCACAGGAGAACCCAGCCTTGGCCACTACCTTAATAGGATTCTTGCAGGGGACCCATTTAAGAGATGACTAGATTCCTGACTCAAAGACACTGTGGAATAATAAATTTATGTTTTTTAAGCTGCTAAAATTATGCTAATTTATTATATATCAATAAAAACTAATCTATTAAATTTTCTTTAGTAAGTTATATTTTTATTCCTTTTTTTCTGTATTCCTTTAAAAATATGAAAACCAAATTTATGAACCTGAATTTTTGAAAAAAGTTAAAATTACACAACTTTACACAGTATGAGTATCCCTCCTACGCTACACACCCATATCACCTTCCTTGGACTCCCTAGACGCAATCACCATTTCCTGCTTGGTGTTTTTTCCTCTGGTGAAATGGTCTTCCAAATTCTTAAATACATATGAAGATTTAAAAATTATTTTTAAGCTGTTTCTAATATTTATCATGTACAAAAGTGAAATTATTTTTGGCCCTTGGTTTTAAAGAGATTTGAAAGCTAATGCAAGAAACTACTGTACTGTGTAACATTATATCTTAAATTTCTTGGACTGTTTATGTGAGCTGAAGACAAAGGGAAGCAATGAGCTCGGCTAGTAGAGGACTATTTTAATAAACCTAAGTTCTTATGCAACATTGCCAACTAGCCACTTATGATGGAGACCACTTCTTGTCTCTATACCCTTAATTTGCACATTTCATACTTTAAGTTACATCTTTGTAGGTGTATGTACTTTATTTTGTGTGTGTGTCTTGTCTTTCATAATGGTGCCTGGTGATTTTCAAACCTGGATGATCATAAAAGTCATTCTCAAAGTTTATTATTATTGTTATTGATGTTGTTGTTTTCATCATCATCAACTAGTTGTCATTCCTGGACATTCTGACTTACTAAATTTGAGATATGGTTATGGAATCCATGTTATAGTAGCTCACAGGTTATTCTGACCAACTTAGTAGGGAAACAGTTTAGGTATTTTATACACATATAACACTGTTTTTAAGATAGTGTTCTGCAATTCACTGTACACTATGTGACAGGGAAAACAATCGCTGTGGTTGTAGACTATATGAAACTACAAATGAAAACAGTGTAAGAAATCTTTAACTTTCGATTCTCCTTTCTCATTTGTTCTCTCTTATTGATTCTTGCTTTGGAGGTTGCTTTTGTATCCTTAATGAAGCACATTTTCTTCTTGTCTCCTATCCAGAAATCCTCTTTCTTCCCATAGAAGCTCTGAGGCTGGGAAGGAAGACATGAGAGTTCTTTGGAAATGTTTAAAGTCACCAGCCAAAGTTGGAGCATGCAGGTAAGTGTTTCCAGTCTTCCTTCCTTGTTTCCGGCTTCCTTTTCTCCTTGGTGGATCCAACCAGGCTGCTGACAGCTTCATCTGGTATCCTGATGTAATGAAGTTACTTAGCCATATTTCTTACTCAGAAGTTGCTTTTGACTTATACAGTGTTAACTGATGTTAATTTTTTGACGTCACATCCTTCAGACGAAGCAAATAGTGTCTGTTCTTTGTTATAAATATGCAGTTTGTTGGCTGTCCATGACCAGGAAGTGAAGGCGGCCGTGGCTCTTCTGTAGTTACGGAGACTGAAGCAATCATAGGGGGATCTAACCGCAAGTACTACACGGCTGTAACTGCCTTCCTCTTATCTTCCCTAATTCTTTTAGATAGGTGTCTAGCTTGCTAGAATTCACATACCATGAAATTTACCCTTTCATAGCGCACAGCTCACTGGTTTTCAGTATGTTCAGATTCAGCTCCTAGTGAGTCTTCTACCTGGTTTGCAGTGACCACCTTCTAGCTGTATCCTCACATGGCAGAGAAAAATATTTTTCTTAATTTATATTTAATGACAACTTGTATTTAATTTTCTTCTTGTGGGGACACTAGTCCCACAGTGGGTCCCTACCTTCATGACTTTATCTAAATCTAATTACCTCCCAAGGGCTTCATCTTCTAATTTATCACAATAGGGTTTAGGACTTCAACATATGAATTTAGGGGGACACAAACATTCGGTCCGTAACACAGCATAATATAAATGAACATCTAGTTTTATAACTGAATGCAGAGGATAATTATTGAGATTTAACATTTTACAAGCCATCAAGGGAAAAAAAGAAGATAATCAGACAAACAAATGAGAGACATTGGTTTGGTCCTTGAGCTTAGTTTCCAGATGGAAATACAGGGCACAGTATCATAGACATCCCACAGTATCAGTATTGTGATGCTTATGTTATGGATATACTGGAGACCATTTCTGGATTTTACCTTTGATAATCTGAGGGAATCCTTTTTAACTGCTCCCCCACACACACACACACCTTTTCTTAAAAACAAATTCTGTGCTTACAAGATAACATATTATCCAAATTTAATTAGCAAATACTTCCCAAATATCATGGCTAAAGAGTGTTTGTTTTACATAGGTTAATATTTTTTTTGTTTATAACTTTATAAAACCGGTTAATTTGACTTTTTATTACCATATCATCCTCATGTTCTCTGACTATCGTAAAATACAAAAACAAATTAATAAAATATATTTCCCCTTTGATATTTTAACATATGCTTTATTATAGGTCTCTCATGGTATCGCTCCACGTATTTATGTTTATGAAACTTTAACATAAAGGGAGTTTCTATAAGAACACTTAAAATATAGACTCTCAGCAAAATTCCTCCTTCATTAACTCTCTTTTGAGGCAATAGAAAACATAATATTTTAAGTAGAGCGATTTAAAACTTCACATTTTGTTCATATTAGGATTTGCTTTGATGTGATACCTCTACATTTGTTTTTTTATGTAAATGAATACAATCCAGGGATTGATGATATGCCTCTGGGTTTTCTTCATGCAAATTCATAGAATATTTAAAATGTTTAAGACCACACTTGTTTAACTAATTACTGGATCCATCTTTGAAACAATTTAGCTATAAAATACACAAGTGTCTCCAAACTGTATCTTCCAGCACTGAGAAAATCTGAGACATGCTGTGAGCACCTTCATTTCACATGATTGCTTTGAAATGAGTACTACAGGCTTCTATTAACTAGGCCTTGTGGAAAGAGCAGCTGAAAGAATTATAGCGGGGGAAGGTAATGGAATTCGATACTACTACTTATTAATTGCCCTAGGTGATGTGTGTGAAACTTAATTTGTCTTAATCAATGTGAGGTGAAGAGAGCACAAATTAATTTGACATGCAGATTTTGTGCTTTCGTAACGATGCTGAAAGTACTTGGGTCCCAAGAATAAAACAGTGTATTAATCTCATAGGTCAGTGACTGTACTGTGTCCTGCCTGTAAGAAACATTGTGCACGTCTTTATTAAGATGGAGCTGGGTCACATCTCTAATCTGGCCGTGTTGGTCTTCTTGGTAGTAAACCAATAAAGCAAAACTGACCCCTTGTATCACTGCCTTTCTAAGTGTGTCATACCGCCAGGTGGGATCGGGAAGCAACACATTTAATCTTGAGATAAACTTAAAACAGTAACTGTACTTTAGCTAGCACCAGTCCTCAAACAGCACTGTGAGCCTTTTCTCACTACTTTCTGGGTCAATACTGAAAACAAAGATATCCTTGACTTCTGCAGTTCTGATGTCTGCAGATATGATAAGCATGTGATAAAACAGTTCCTTTTCCACCATGAACAGCCTGTTAAATTAGTAATTATGTGTGTGTTTCTGCTAAGAAAAAGTTGCTGTTAACTGTTTTCAGAGAGCTCAGTATTTTGAAATCTGTGTTCCCTTAAAATATTGCAGATGTTTTAATGTCTATGACTCAATTTTCCCTTTCAGAAAAGTATAGAAAGCTAAAAACAGAGAATAACAGACCTACCTAACATAATGCCTGCTCACTTAACTACTTACCGTAATAGCTCTTGAATATTTTTACTATATTTTCAATAAAATCTCCTTTTGTTCCAGTGTGATGACTTTTCAGTTAAAGGCACACTGAATTAATATGCTATAAAAAGTGATACTTTGAAATTTTAATTTTAGACAAAGACGCACTCAATAATTTACTTGACAAAACAGTTCCTAGAAAAATAGTAGAAAAAAAAAATCGAATTGTGTCCCATGTCTGGATCAACCCAAAATGTTTTCCTTTTATATGTATGCCAGTGAAAGGGATGAAGAAATAGCATCTTTTTTTTTTTTACTCTTGCATCTCTTGTGCACATGAACAATTTTCATGTATTTCAAAGTGCTCTTATGTTTGATTGCCTTTTCTGTTTTGCTCTAAAGGTATTAAGTGAACTTTGAGTGCAGGATAACCATGAGTCACAGAGGGGGTGAAAAACTGGTGATGCAAATGGTGTGGTAAAAGAATGCACTATCCAAAAAAAGAACGGCGGCTTTCCATCTATTTTTCATACCTACTATCAAGTCTTTTCCTTAAGAATAATAAACTTATATAGCATAACTTTTTTTAAAATCTGTATTCTTTTGCAAATTGTTTTTCCTTATATAAACATGTTTTATTGTCAATTAATATGTTTTTCTATCTGTGAATTTATTTCTGTATCTATATATGAAATTTTTCAAAACTTTTCACTTAGTGGTGAGGTTTCCAGCAATGAATTAAGGCTCTTAAACAAGAGAAGCATGAATTTCCAATGGTCATAGTGAGGAATCTTTTTATTCCTTTTTATATAATTATACTTTGATTCACAGTGTGAAACACCCTTTATGAAGAATTTGTGACTATACTTGCATGCATGCCATTTCACGTGGAATTATTTAGATACATTATTTTTGATTGGCTAAGCAGAAAGTATGAAACAATTTAAACATGTTCTAGGTGATATTTTAAATCCTTCCATTTACAAAGACAAAGTAGTTTATAAGAGGCAAATAAGGAAATTTAAAATGAAAATTTCTATTCAGCCATCAAAGTTTGATGTTCCTACTTTGTCGTCTCAAGATCAGCACTTGTCCTTTCAATACAGCAGCCCTTGTAGAAGATGGTTTCAGGAGTCAGGACATGATCTTTTTTCTTAGAGTGGCTATAAGCATGTTGGAAAATCCAACAACACTATACTATGTCCCAATGCGATGAGATACATCAGAGTTTAAAGACACAGAGTTATCATGGCAGAAATGATTTGTGAGCTTTTTGGTCTTACTGAACATTGTTAATAGTGTCAGCACCAGCACTATAGGGCAAAACTCATCTTTTTATACAGGGCACAGCTAGCTGGGCCTATCAGTATCATTGCCATGGTGATTTTCTCCTTGATGAAAATGCTGAAAGAAACATTATTAATGCTCAGTACGTACAAATGTTTGACTTGTCGAGCTGGCAAATGATTAAACTTGGAATCTTTAATATCTTGATAAAATATATTGCATAAAAAGAGGGTATAGATTACATCACAGTGATTTGAGGAGCATTTAAAAATACCTGGCATAAAATGTGCATTCCTGTATGCCAGATACAAGGCATATGTTTATTATTATCTAAATTATCCTCAAAAAAATGTTATGAAGGTGCTAAATCTTTTCTATGAATGAGAAAATGAGGACTCACAATGAGCAAGGTCATTGTGCAGTATCCTACTGCTAATGCATTGTGGAGCCAGCACCAAATCCATTCTTTAAAATTTATTCCAGGGGCCTAGCTGTAAATTAATACACCATACTGTGTCTTTTAAGAATGAGATACTCCATCCAACTTTACCACTGGTGTTTCCCTTGTAATTCTCTCAGATGAAGTCGTCTTACTTTTGTAAACCCTTTCATCCAGTTCATCACCCATACCAAGATTCATAGCAGCACCGATGAAATCCTAATTCCAGTAATTATTCGGATATTCAAAAATAATTATTGAACACTCTTGCTGTGAAAGTAGCTAGTCTAGGTGGGTGGTGGGGATACATCAGTAAATGAGACAAATAAGATCCCAGTCCTCAGGAAGGAAGAACATACCAAGTAGGAATAGGTGCTAAAAACAGCACGGTGGTGAGATTGAGAATAACTATGTGAGAGAGAAGTTAATTTCTAGTCACACTATTCCTATACTTGGAAGTTTCTCACTTCTTTATTTCCATCACTTTGATCATATCAGGATTTTCATTTCCTAGATATTTTCATTTTCACATAGTGTAGCTCTACATCCTTTATCCAGTTTCACTTGTTTTCTTATATAGTAGAGCTTCTATAAATCGATTTGTCAGCCACTTTCTAGCTAACTTTTTCATTTCCCATATTTTTCTTTTTTATTTTCTTTTTTATTTTTGTCTTTCCTTTATGCTAGTGACACCCAGCCTTGGGCTAAAAC